CTAAAAGAATGAATAGCCAAACAAAAAGTTTGCAGATAATTTTTTGCACTCTGTTTGTTGAGTTGCCTACTCTCATTTACTTCGATCATCAGCGATAAGCCCACAGTCGATAGTTTGCCGTGCATCTGTAAAGATTGTTTAGGGAAATTCGACGGCCAAATCATCGAGTGGGCGGATCTTCCGCGTTATGATATAACCCGCAATAATCGACTTCGTTGCCCACAATGCTGCTTGACTGGGTAGTCGATACCATCGAAGGCACCGATTCCCGCCATCGAAGTTCACAGAATGTAAACAAATCCAAAGCCTCTGATTGGTCAGTTGGCCAGATGGTTTTGATAATACGCTTTTAGCTAAGTCTTACGTACGAATGTTTTGATAATGCCAAAATATGGGTGTACTTACGTAATACGTAACTTTTTTGTCGGAAGTACAAAAAGTTACGAAGTTTTGATAATCCGGCCCCTGGTTCTGCTGGCGTTTTGTTGGCTTAGAACTTGCTTGTAGCGTGTTTCTGGCGTGTAGCTTGCATGTTGCAGCCGTGTAGCAAGAGTGCTACTGACGTGTAGCCGTCGAAGTCAAATGAAAACGATCTTCACTAACTTGCCTCCAACTTCCCAATTACAGCGACATGCCATCATGCTCGCAAACCTGTGATCAATTCTTCGCCTCTAAATGTTTTGCTTCGCTCGTCAGCGTTCATTTAAATTGAAGTCGATGTGCAATCACCCGTGGGCTTTACTTGAAATTTCTTATTGACCAATTTTAAGATTGGCGAAGAATAATGGAGAACCCTTAAATTTTTAAGACAGATGTCAGTCTATACAGAAATTTCTGATTATTGGATAATGATAATAAAGACAAATTTCAATTTCATCGATTACAGATTATGTAAATATTGTTATCATGTGTGTGAGTGATCGTAAAAATTTAGTACTGATTCATTTCTGTCGCTGAAAAAATAGGCTCATACTCAACATTCTTGAGTCTTTCCACAGCAATAAACTACAACAAACTGAATTCTGTCAGACGGTAACATGGTAACCTGGCTAATTCTCGTTTCATTTATTCACCGATATCCTTTTCTTGCCTTACGTAATGTTGGGTGCATAATTTTGAGTTCTTTATTATTTCTTCTGCAACAATAGGAATCTCTTCATTCACATCGTCTTAAACTCACTTCTTATCAATTATATCTTATGGCGCGAATTTACTCTGTTTCCTAATTCTACATGCCAGGGAATATAGCCGATGTTGTTCAATTTCTCTTTATAATCGTTTGATTTAGTTTATTGAAATGGTCAAAATTTAAAATTGTAAAGAAAAGCTTATCGTAGTTTGTTACGGTCGGTTAATAATTATTGGCCATTTAAATTCTAGAAAAACGAGAGTATTGATTCACACTCGATGAAAGCTTACTAGATTGTTTAAATTCGCAATGTCACGTATAGAACAATCAGCTGAACATGCAAGGCAGCTTAAATTCCCGCGACAGTTTGCAGTGCTCGCCCTACCCTCAGTGCCCGCCCTGCCCTTAGTGCTCGCCCTACCCTCAGTGCCCGCCCTGCCCTCAGTGCCCGTCCGCCTACCCTCAGTGCTCGCCCTACCCTCAGTGCCTGCCCTGCCCTCAGTGCTCGACCTGCCCTCAGTGCCCGCCCTGCCCTCAGTGCCCGCCCCGCCCTCAGTTTTCGCCCTACCCTCAGTTTTCTCCGCTGTACGGCTGTGTCATTCACAGTCTTGACGCCGGCCAGTGAGGTGTGGCGTCGACGCTTGTCATCAATAAGCATCGCCGTCTAAATTATTTACGTACGGCGTTACTTTTGATGAAATTTTACACCTACACTTTTTTGTGATGTATAATTATTGCAAAGTAATTTTAACCTGTGATTTTCTGTTAGATTTTCTAATATTTTATAGACTGAAAATAAACTTAGCAGAGTAGCAAGTAATGACCATTTGACTTTATTCCGTCTTTGTGTCAGTTTAACGTGAAGACCATCGTTGAGCTAACCAAATACATGCCCTGCTGAACAAATAATACTGCAATATGTAGAATATAATTCCTGAAGCAAGCAAGGTAAGATGGGGATTTCATTTTAATTTTGACCCGTGCAACGATAGTTCAGTCGGAACTTAGTTAAAGAATCAATCCCAAGTTTTCATTTCCAAGTACAACTGGCGAACAAAGAAGAATGGGTCTGGGGTGCTGGCTGCTGGTGCAGCTGGTGCAGCTGGTGCAGCTGGTGCAGCTGGTGCAGCTGGTGCAGCTGGTGCAGCTGGTGCAGCTGGTGCAGCTGGTGGCAGCTGGGAAGTATCCCAGCTTTCAGGTGGCGATGAACGACATCGACTTCGTCGCGCCTGACGTGGCGTACGTCGGGGACTCGCTGTGTGAGTTGTGTTCTGTGTGAGTTGTGTTCTGTGTGAGTTGTGTTCTGTGTGAGTTGTGTTCTGTATGAGTTGTGTTCGGTTTGAGTTGTGTTCTGTGTGAGTTGTGTTCTGTGTGAGTTGTGTTCTGTGTGAGTTGCGTTGTGTGTGAGTTGTGTTGTGTGTGAGTTGTGTTATACATGAATTAAATTTTGTATGAGATATTTTCTATGCATGCTGTGTTATAAGTGAGCTGTGTATTGTGCACCTTGTACGTGCTAGGCCGCTCTCTGTGTGAGTCATGTTGGCAAAATCATGTTGCAGCATTGTCATATTTTTGTCCATACCAAGAGCTAACCTAACCAATCAGAATACCTTAGTCGTCCACTGTGCTGGTCACGCGCTACAACCGCCTGTACTCAAGTTATTTATATTAAATTAAAATATCTTACAATGTAAAAAGTTCTAGTACCGCGCGGGCGTTTGGTCTCGCTGATTTCATGTGTTGCACTTCTAGCCGCGTCTGCTATTTGTTTTTACTGCGGATTTGGGATTGCAAGAAGAATGTAGATGTAGTGGTTCCATGATAATTAAGCTTTGCACGACGACTTAAGGTGTCTTTTCAAAAATATGTAAATTTAATAATTACATGTACTTCAATAATAATTATATGTACTTCAAATCTCACATTTAATAATTATATGTACTTCATTAAATCTCCCTCCAGGTGAATGCCGTGCAAAATGCCTGGTGCAGGAGCAGTGCACAGCGGCGACGTACGAAAAGCTCTCGTCTACGTGCAGCCTGTCGTACGCAAGTCAATGCGAGACCGAAGTACAGAACAAGACCGGCGTCGTGGGGCTCTTCAAGTACGGTGGGTATACAAGGATCTTTTTCATTCTAATATACCATTTGATATGTATAGTGCAGTAAATCTTAACAAGTTGAGGTAAATCCCTGATTTTGTAGACATTCTAGACAAATGAGGATAACTCATTCCCAGCTACTCACTCTACGGGTAACAACTTCATGTGCGATAGGTGGATTAAACCAGCTCAGTACCAGTAAACTAGTCATGAGTAGCCATAAGTGAACTATTACTTGTACGAGGAATATTCGATACTCCGAAGTCTCTCTCAACAGGAACAAATTGGTGATTTCTTAATAGTTTTCAGCGTTGAATTTTGTTAATAGAATTGACCTCTACTAAGTCTACTAGCAGGCTATGTCGAATCGAAGTTATTAGGTTCAACAAGCGCCTTGATTCATCATCTCTCCCATTCAATGTTAGCTTTATTGGAAAGTGTTTTCCTTCAACATTACTTCAATTCAACCGTGATACAGAAATCATGTAATCCGTTCACTCAGTGTGGAGTAAATGCATCTCGATTGTTTATGTTCCGTTGATGCGAGACGGCATGCATGCAGGTCCCTGGTTCTGTGGATATCGGTTAACACAACACAACACACCACTACACAACACAACACAACACAACACAACACAACACAACACAACACAACACAACACAACACAACACAACACAACACAACACAACACAACACATCTTCATAGGACTTGCACTTCAAGCCTGGAATTATCCTAGTTGCACGTCTTTGAACATTCTCTAGTAAATTTATGTCCTTTTCAAATCTCGGTGACAACACAACGTTTCCAAACTCTAGATTCGGGCGCACGACAGCAACAAACAACTGCTTCATCTCTTCTGCATCTAGGAACTCGTATGAGCGTCTGATTAGTCCAAGAAGTTTGTTGGATGTGTTAGCTTGCGTTTCAACATGCTTAGAAAATTTCAGCTCCTTGTCGACATAAACTCCGAGATCTTTTTCCACACTAGACTTTTCAATCATTACTCTCTCGTTGCACCCATGTCTTCTCATACTGTAATCTTGCTGTTCATTGTTCTTCCCGAGGTGAAGTACTTGACACTTGTCAGCATTAAATCGCAGCTGCCACGCATCAGCCCAGTTAACTAAACTGTCAAGATCATCTTGTAATTGCGCTTTATTTGACGCATGCTTCACTGTATTATAAACTTTTGTGTCGTCGGCATACATGGAGCACACGCTGGCAGACCGTTTATAAAAGCAACGAACAAATAGGCCCACGAACGCTTCCTTGTGGCACGCCACTGCGCACTGATACCCAGTCTGACACGGTTCCGTTAATACTGACACGTTGTCGTCTACCTACTAGAAAACCTCTAATCCATTGGAGTACGTTTACCTCATAGATAGGTTTAGAAAATCTTCCTCAAATACTATTGAACAATGATAAAACTACCTTGTAGAAAATTAGTTTGTTCAACAAACGGCAGACACGGTCATCAGGGACGTGTTCATCAGCAAGGCCCGCACAAGTAACGGGTCTCCGGCGCAGCTGCAGCAGCTGTGCAGGGCAGAGGGCGGCGAGCCTCTCGTCATCAAGACGAAGCAAGTCAGAGACAAGGCCCTGCAGCTCGTCTTAGGTGAGACGTGTTCTGACTACGCTGCGTACTTGTACTGTACAGTAAACCTATAGCTACCGCGCATCATACCTGTACGCATTATGCCTATACTACGCATAACAATTGCATAAAGCATCTCGTCTGCACCTATAAATAGCTTCCTCTATTTTTACCTTGTTGTTAATGAAAATTTTAAAGTTGATTTATAGATGGCTAAGTTGAATCGCTATGATATTAATTTCCCTTACTCCTAATAATAAGTTGATGATTGTGCCGCAGAGTCCGGCGTGGTTAGCACGCCTTACCCCAACAAAGTTGCGTGGATCAGCGCGTACAAAGCAAGCACCACCTACGCCTGGCCTGACGGTTCCTCCGTCACCAACTGCGCGTCTGCAGTCGCAGATCTTAACGCTTCTCACAATAACGATGGCCCAGCAACGATGCTGGCTGCGGGAAACGTAATTTTGCGCACGTCCGCGGGGAAAGTTGTCCTTTTTCCGGTACTCTGCCACAGATATTAGGTTGACCTTGAGCTGTGTTGTCTTGTAGTGAGGAGGTATCATTTTCACTTGGTGGTCTTTTATTATTGTGAGTATGTGTTCCCTTCACTTGCTAGTCATCGATTATTGTGAGAAGGTATCCCCCTCACACGCTAGCCATCGATTACTGTGAAGAGGTATCCCCCTCACACGCCAGCCATCGATTACTGTGAAGAGGTATCTCCCTCACACGGTCACACGCTATTCATCGCTTGTTGTGAGGAGGTATCCAACTCACACTCTTGTCATCGATTACTGTGAAGAGGTATCTCCCTCAAACGCTAGTCATATATTCTTATCAATGAACAGAGTAGAAGTTTGCACAATCAATCTTTGCATGGTCAGAGCGGACGATGATAATCCGTTGAAAGTGAACTCGTGTATCGCAATCCTACTTGCCAGCTGTATTCGATATGGTAGTCCAGTATTGGTACTTAGAAGGATCGTTAGTATTTATTGTTATTTCGTGTTAAAATTAAGAGCACACGCCTTCGCCTTCTTCAAGTATAGACCTAATATAGACGCCTACTCCTCCTTCGTAATCTTTATCCTCTCTTGCTAAGGACACATCATAGCCCAAGACTTTAATTTGTTCATGTTCTGAAAAATTAAAATTAAAAGTAGAAAAGTATTTATTTCTTGCTTGCAAGTAGCAATTATAATCATTGAAAATTGTGAGATTTCAAGCACAAGTACGCCATTTGTTACAATGGGAATTAATTTATTTTCTTATTTAAAGTAATTAATCGTCTACACAATCAATTAACTAGGCAGATAATGTTGGTACACCCAGAGAAATGAGTGGGTTGAGACAACTCATTTGAATAAGCCAAATTCCGATAAATGAACGCATCTTTGCACCCACTTGCCAGTTTGTGAGTCAAAATGACTTCGACATACCTTCTGTTCGATGTCAGCAATGACTTATACGTATGAGTCAAGGCTAGGTCCGAATAACGCAAAAATTGTCAAGTCTGTTAGAAAAAGTCCTTGATTTTTACCTTTGTAATCTATGGAATTGGCATCGTAATATTTGGTAGAGCCTACGAAGAAATACTTCTCCACGAATTGTTTATAGTCTTCGACTGTCTCTCACCATAATGAGCTCTATCATTTAGTTCACTCAGATTTCTCATAACGGATTATGTTTCATTTATTATGAATAGTGAAGGTAAAGCAGAGGTCTAGTTCAGTTTGCAAAACAAAAGGAACGCCGAGAATAAACTTCGTTCGATGATCGCCAACTCTTTTAAACTGACGAGTAACTTAGCATAGTCTAGTCAAATTACTTAGAGTAAGTTTTTTTATGGTACTCCCCAAAAAAGATTCTCATTTAGCGGTTGAATAATGGTAGGTGGCCGATTCACGCCTGATTCACTCGTAAGTCGACCGTGAGGCTCTTCCTAGCTCGGCTCGTAAAAAGTTCATAAAATGAGATTTGACCGACGCGGCAGTAAGGGACATGAAGCTTGATTAAGAATTTTTTCAGGAAAAAACAGCCATAGCGCTAGTTCCTGAATTATCTTCGGGCATATCCGACTTGGTTGCGCTTCCACTTCAAGCAAAGAGCTTAACACAACTATACATGAGAATTCCTTGAACAAAACTTTGATAAGTTTTCATTAAAAATGCTTCCGAAAAGGAAAGCCTAAATTTGAAGTCAATGCATATTTTGGCTGTGAATGTATAAACAGAACTCCAAAAGATTGTCATGTCTATTGCGCTGAAAAAATATATTGATTTGATAGGCATTGAAGTGTCTTCAAGCAGTTCACGATAGTTAAATCGTACTTTTAATTCTTTTTTTCTGTTTTTGTGTCGCACGTTCCATAACCATGGCGACTCGGTCACCTCAGTGTTAAACTATGAAGACACCTCGATATTCTGCTGGTCGATGGTACATTTGACGGATTACAATACCTGCGGTGATATCGTCCATTAGGTTCATGACATTATGCGTGGCACATTAGCTGCACCAACTTCGTTACTTTTTATTGAGGAACCCCGTTGAGTTTTGCCCAACAGGTCAAAAACTACCTCTTTCTGATCTCAAATGACCCACTAACTTTGCGTTATTCAGCATTACTGAAGCTTTACTTTGTCCTAGAGTTTCTCGTTACAGCGGACAGTCTAGGTGATTATCATCGATCGGAGTTGGAAGTTTCACCAGCAATGATAAGCTCAGCCACCCCAGATCTGTCATAGTTAATTGGTTCTCTTCATAACTGTTGCTTCAACTGTCTGCTTTGCAGACAACAGATCTTTTCACTCAACCGAACTGCCTACTTCATAACTGTTGCTTCACCTGTCTGCTTAACAATTGTTGCTTCAAGTGTCTGCTTCACAACAGTTGATTCAACTGTCTGCTTCACAACTGTTGATTCAACGTTCTGCTTCACAATTGTTGCTTCAACTGTCCGCTTCGCAACTGTTGACTCAACTGTCCACTTCACGACGGTTGCTTCATTTGTCTGTTTCACAACATTAGCTCAACTGTCTGTTTCACAACTATTGCTTCAACTGTCTGCTGCGCAGCTGTTGCTTCAACTCTCTTCTTCACAACTTTTAATTCAACTGTCCGCTTCAGAACAAAAGAATCAACTGTCTGTTTCACAACTGTCTTCAATTGTACGCTTCAAAACTTTTGATTCAACTGTCTGTTTGACAACAGTTGCTTCAGCAGTCAACTGCATAACCTTGGCTTCCACTGTCTGCTTCATAACTGTCTCTTCACCTTTCTGTTTAACAATTGTTGCATCAACTGTTCAATTCACAACTGCTGATTCAACTGTCTGCTTCATGACTTTCTATTCAACTGTCTGCTTCAGAATTATTAAATGAACTGTCTGCTTAACATTTGTTTCTTCAACTGTCTGCTTTACAACTGTTGCTGCAACTGTCTGCTTTACAACTGTTGCTTCAACTATCTGCTTCACAACTTTTGATTAACTGTATATTTCACAACTGTTGCTTCACCTGTCTGCTTAACAATTGTTACTTTTGTAGCCGCGCCCCCTGCGTTCTAATTTTTGCACCGCGATTTTTCTTGTCAATTTTTGCGATCATTCAACAGTTATTTTTTATATTTTTCTGTTAAATTTGTACCCATTTTTCCATTAATATTTTTTGTCTGTCGATCTTTACCATCATTTTCATTCAGAGAAAAAGTCTGTTCACCTTGATCATCCGAAGCGCGTCACTTTCATTATGTTAGTCGAGAAACACTTTGTGCTTCACTGTTGGTGAACCTTTATTCTTTATTGTGAGTTCTAAATTTGTGCGTGATATTTGTGAATCTTGTGACATATAAATTCGAGTTTTGATATTTAAGAATAGTAATTTTGTTAGGAATAACTAGGATTAAGTATTATTGCTACATCTTAAGTTTGTTATTCTTTGTTTACAGAACCTAATTCGGTTATCACGATTAGTTAGCTTCAGTACGAGCCATCCGCTGGGTTTATTCCGAGTTCAATCTAGTTAACTTTAGGTTTATCTTGTATTTATTTTGAGTTCTCATCGGTGCCTTCCTGTCAATAAAGTGCTAAAAATCTCATGTTCACTTCCCTGCACGGTTAAAGTTCGAGTGTCTCCATTCAACTGTCTGTTTCACATTTGTTGATTCAACTGTCTACTTAATAATTGTTGCCTCCACTGTCTGTTTCACAACTGTTACTGCAACTGCCTGCTTCATAACTGTTGCTTTCACTGTCTGCATCACAACTGTTGCTTCACCTGCCTGCTTAATAAGTGTTTCTTCAAATCTCTGCTTCACAACTAGTGATTCAATTGTCTGCTTCACAACTAGTGATTCAATTGTCTGCTTATCGACTTATGCTCCAACTATATGCTTCACAACAGTTGACTCAACTGTCTACTTTACAACTATAGCTTGACCCGACTGCTTAACAACTGTTGCTTCAACTGTTTTCTTCATAATTGTTGATTCAACTGTCTGCTTCAACTGTCTGCTTCACAACAGTCTGCTTCACTACTGTCTGCTTCGCAACTGTTGATTCAACGTTCTGCTTCACAACTGTTGATACTACTGTCTGCGTCACAACTGTTGACTGAACTGTCAGCTTCACAACTGTTGCTTCAAATGTCGTCTTAACAAAGATAGCTTCACAACTGTTGCTTCAACTGTCTGCTTCGTATCTGTTTCTTCAACTGTTTCTTCTCAACTGTAGGTTCAACTGTCTACTTCACAACTGTGGCTTCAACTGGTCTGCTTCACAACTTTCAATTCAGCAATCTGCTTCATAACAATTGACTCGACTGTCTGCGGTTTCTTTAATTTTCTGCTTCACAAAAGTTGCTGCAACTGTCTGATTCATAACTGTTGTTTCAACTGTCTTCTTCACAACTTTTAATTCAACTGTCTGTTTGACAATTGCTGCTTCTACTGTCAACAGTTGCTTCCACTTTCAGTTGCTTCCACTTTCTGCTTCACAACTGTTGCTTCACCTGTCCGCTGAACAATTGTTGCTTAAACTGTCTGCTTCCCAAAAGTTGATTCAACTGTCTGCTCCACAACTGTTGCTCAAACTGTCTGCTTCACCAATGTTGCTTCACCTGCACAACTGTTGCTGCAACTGTCTGCTTCACACACAACTGTTGCTTCAACTGTCGGCTTCACAAATTTTGCTCAAACTATCTGCTTCACAACAGTATAGTTTGTTTGTTTGTTGTTTATAGTTAGTTTCACAACAAACTATCTGCTTCACAACTATTGATTGACCTGTCTGCTTAGCAAATGTTGCTTTCACTGTTTGCTTCATAACTGTTGATGCAAACTGCTTTCTTCATAACTGTTGATTCAAACTGTTTGCTTCATAACTGTCGATTCACACTGTTTGCTTCACAACTGTTGCTTCAATTGTCCGCTTAACATCTGTATGCTTCCATTGTCTGCTTCACAATTGTCTGCTTCGCAACTGGTGATTCAACGTTATGCTTCACAACTGTTGATTCAACGTTCTGCTTCGCAACTGTTGCTTCACAACTGTTAATTAAACTGTCAGCTTTACAACTGTTGTTTCAACTGTCGTCTTAACATAGGTAGCTTCACAACTGTTGCTTCAACTGTCTGCTTCACATCTGTTGCTTCAACTGTTGCTTCAGTTGTCTGCTTTTCAACTGTTGGTTCAACTGTCTATTTCAGAACTGTTACACAACTATTGCTTCAACTGTCTGCTTCACATCTGTCTGCTTCGCAATTGTTGCTTCATTTGTCTGCTTCACGACTTTTATTTCAACTGTCTGCTTCACAACAATTGAATCAACTGTCTGCTTCATAACGGTTTCTTCAATTGTCTGTCTCACAACTGTTGCTGCAACTCTCTGATTCGCAACTGTTGCTCCAGCTGTCGGATTCACAGCTTTTTATTCACAACTGCTGCTTCAACTGTCTTCTTCTCAACTTTTTATTCAACTGTTTTTTGACAATTGCTGCTTCAACAGTAAACTTCATAACCGTTGTTTCCACATT